GTCAGAGGGTGCAATTAATGACCGGTCTGTGGTTCGAAACCGACCTCCGCCTCTCGACTTCCCTCGTCTAGCCTTGGGCAACTTGGCAGTATCCCGGCATTCGTGCTTCCTCCAGGTGGTATGGCAGCTAAGCATCGAAAGAGTTACAGATGGACGATTTTTTATAGTCGGTGCTGTTCGTCCTTTGGTTTGCGGAATTAAGCTTAAAAATGCGACGCTTAGCTAAACACCATCCAAGGCTTTCAAAACCCTACTCCAAAAGACGGAGGGAAAGCTTAAAAACTGGTGGGTTCACAGGCCAAACATCGAGTTCAAATGTTTGGCCTGTGAACCCACCAGTTTTTAAGCTTTCCCTCCGTCTTTTGGAGCCGAATTATCACTCCGAGTTGTATTCTCCTTTTGTATCTGCGCCCATGCGTATTCCCACCCTCGCTCCCGTCTACTTAGACCTCAACCAACGTTTCCAATTAGATGGTGTGTCGCAGCTATCACATCCACTTGCTAAAACCACTTCACAGATGACGGGAGATAAACAGTCCGGATGCATAATGATGAGTCATTATCCCAAGGTACACAATAGAAGTTTTAGGGTCCCACGGGCGATAGGAATGGAGATGCATATATCTCGCACGAAGTGGCTCCCGTAGAGTCCGTAAGATGTAAAAAAAGATAACCTGAAAATCTTTCAGTTCCGTAACATTTCCAATTCGCAGATGCCATGCACATGGATGGACGAAAGCTATGTTGCCAGATTGCTCAAAAAACAGAACATTTACCTTGAATGCGTTCTAATTTCATGAGTTACGGATCTACTGAAATATCCTGGGTGGAACATGAAACCCAAATGGCAAAATTCAACGGTATATTTACAAAATGCTGACACTCTCTGCATGATTATGAGGCTTCAAAGGCGAAGTCGGGATAAGATTTTCTGACTGACTCAAGCCGTTTTGCAAAGCTTCGTGTCCGCCTCCTCAAAGTTTTGTTCTTCTTGGATGGTACTGAACCTGATGTACAGGGTCGATCAGATCCAAAGCGAGTTGAACGTGATAACGCGCTGTTCATTTGACGTTTCCGCTCCACCTCCCGACTGGATTTCGGTAAGAACTTGCGTCTGAACACACTCCACTTCGGGTCCGAAAGAACCTCACCTAGATCATAAATGACAAAGTACTCCGGAAATATACTCTAAATAGCAAATGTGGAATTGAGAAATTACAACAAAGACTACAAAAGCATTTCCTGGACGAGTAAATCCAGACCGGTAAGATAAGGGCAACACTTACCCACAAAGCATCCAAATAGCATATAACAATGTTCTAACTAGTTTGTAGGTTTTCAGTCCTTGACTCAGTTGTGCAGACATCACTGTTTCACAGATGTAGTTGTGATGCAATGCCACGCACCCTCAATGGTCATCATCATCATCAACGACAGCATGACATCAGTGCTCAACACCAATGCTTCACTGCCGTACAGCCATGACTTATTTGAAAGCCTTATTGTAAAGAAAAGAATAAAGGTGGATGGGGGAGGGACTTAGTGCTAGCTTAACACAATCATTCCGAGGTGCCTACACCTCCAGAAATTCACTCAGGCAATCTGGACAGAAACTGACAACAAGAACGCCACTGACATCGGGTGCCAGCCATATCTTGTAGTGTCTCCAACCAGGCACAGCGAGGATCACGCGGTCCCCATCCTGGAAGAAGAAATCATGCCATCGACCGGGTCGCCTTAATCCCCGAATGCAGCAGGATGGGGAAACGAAATCAGACAGTAACTTGGTTCTGACACCATAGCCTGTTTTAGTGGCGCGCTCGCCCAGTCGTATAATAGCACTTCGTACTTTGAGGGTGAGAGACGCAATTCGAAACGCATGGTAACATCACTTAGGTTATTTGGTGTGTTTCTTATCTGAATGGAAACTGAAAGAAGTAGCGCAACATTGGCCAAATATTCAATGAATTTAAGGGCTTCCCAGGAAAGAAGGTCCAAAATTAGGGTGAAAGACAACAAAAGTTTCTCACTTAATTAATCCACTATTAGGTTATGGAGAAAAGGTGACAAACAGTAAGCCTGAAGGGCACCACTTTTGGTCATGTTGGGAGAGTATTCCCAGCAGACCTTAACGCGCCCGCAGGTATATAGTATGATGGTTGGAGGACTGTGAAGAAAATGCGTGGCACACCATTGAAAGATAGACATCCCCACAAAGCAGCGCGACCGAGCCGGACATTACGTTCAGACATGAGAACAACAATTATTGTTTTTCTGTGTGACGATGCTCCAGCAGTTGTCGTGAGGTAGAGATATGGTAAATGCAGCCACGACCCGAACGGAACTCTGCTTGGTTTTCACGGCTCTCCTCACAAAGGTGCTGGTATTCCTGCGTGGGATCATATCTGTGGGCAACTTGGAAGCGATCATGATCAAACGGGCACTCTGATAATTGGCTGATATTCAGATATAACATCTATTTTGAAGACAGGAACGACATCAAATATCTGCTATTCCTTTGGCACTTCCTGTCTTACAAATGGTGTGCACAGGTGATTTCGAGCTGAGTAATTCTCCGTCCTTAGACAAAGCGGAGAAAGACAGTAAAAACCTTATCCCTTCATCTTCTGTTACGACCGAGCCAATAAAGTCCCATTGTGACCTTTGACCTTTATCTTGGAGATATGTATCACTGAGGGATTAAACTTGAATCGGGTCGTGGCCTGGTTCACAACCAAACGCTAAACTCTGCACTCCCGATTTCGAAAAAGTCTGTATTTTGCAGCCTGGCTTATTGTGGCTCCAGTGACAATTTTTTCACGACCTATCCTTAGCAACACTGGATGTCCTACAGATGAATGGTCTCCTCATCGGAGCGGAAAAA